AACGTAACAGCCAGGAACAGGGACTACATCACTTACCTTTATGTTTACCTTCCATCGTGGAAAAATAATTTGAACTCTAGAACGTGGTTTGAACAATGATCAATTTTACTGCTTTTACAGCCACTAACTAGTCGCAAATACCAAATTGTTGACACTCAATGTTTACATTGCGGCCATAATCCCTGGTCTACTTTTTGTATGTTTATCTTTACGTATTTCGCTTATAAAAAATCTCTTCTGTGCTGAATACTCAGTCGTTTTAGATTTCTTATGTTATAATTTTGTCCACCCAACTTGGTCAATGGTCTCAATGTCTACTGGGTGACATCCAAGGCTGGCGAGTGAAGTAACAGCATAGTCAGATGTTTGGCATTGTCGGTAGGGTAGGAAAGAAAGTTCTAAATGGCAACGTTCTCAAATTGGTAATGACTATGACCTTATTGTGTTTAACTGTTTGACTGACTTGATCCATTTCGATTGATTTTTTTGATGAGTTCGTAGCTAACTTTTCACAGAGGGGCCAGCTTGCGCCGAGCATATTTCGTAAACTTGTGACAGCGTCGTGTGGGAAGTCCACAGTCAACCTACTTGCGGGCATTATTTTATAATTTTTCGAAATGTTGAAGCAACGACCATCAACAAAATAGTGTTACTACTGTTTTAAATATTTTTTCATAAGATCAGTTCAGCAAGATCCAAGTAACAGAGGATTTGTTTAGCGATCTGGAAAACAGCTCATCCCATATTTTGTGTAACAGTGGTGTCATTTGGGCCGTATGTTAAGTAGCACATTCAGCAATTAGCCAATTTAACTAAGTTAAAAGGTCTAATAAAATTAACTGATCTGGCACGCATACCATCTGTCCTTTACACTTCCGGTCTAACCATCAGCTTTAAATTAACTTAATAAAAAAATGACAACAGAATAGCTCGATCCAATATTGCAGCATAATAATTTGCACTTTGAGACAAATGACAGACATTCGGTGGTACGTATACGTTACAAGTAAGAATTGAGTATGATGAAGCCGACAGGTAAAGCTCCGAAAAAACTCCTGATCTACAGTCAGTTTAATTGCTCCAGAGACGGATGCTTGATGATAACGATAGCTCTCAGTGTAAAATTCTTTTGTGATGTGTCGCCAAGACAATGGAAGCTCGATCACGGATAGAACTATATATATATGATTTTAATTCATTTTGGAAACACCATCGGTCAATGAAGCCTTATGTTTTTAAAAGTCAATCGATAAGCAAAGCCATTCCTTCAAGCCTTAAGCCTACATAACCCGTAACTAAAAATGACGTCAAATAAGTTAATTCTGCACGTCAGTTCATAATTTCAGCCCAAGTTGAATCCTATCGAAATGAGAAAACGCCATAGACCTTGTACCCTGAATAGAGGATAGTTGCTATTATTTTGTCCGTTGTCCCAGAGACCACGCCTAGACCATGCTTATGAGTTACCGAAAAAGGACAAAACAATTGCACACGGTTCAGTCGGATGGACGAAAACAGCATGTTTGAGTTAGACTCTCTGAGAAAAAAGTTAGCTACGAACACTTGTCACAGAGGAATCAAACGGATCTCAAGTCCATAAAGTCTATCTGAAAAAGTCGCCTTTCGCGCACACCGCCAGTCATGCGTGGACATCTATGGAGACGGGTACGCCAACAGGTGAAGCACGGCCACTTGCCGAAAACATTTTTCTATCGTTCTAAGTTTTACAGAGAAATCTACGGGAAATATATAATGTGTGAAATAATACGTCTAATAGGTGTAGAATTACCTGGACTGGAAGTGTGTCAATATACCAACAACCCCCCCCCCCGACCCTTCCAATTTTATACCCTCAGATACCCTTTCGAATGACGATCAGTAAGTAGCCTCTGAAACTTCAACACCAGAGGTTCAGTGATTTTTATTGATTTGTTTTTTGGCCTACTCTCCGCTTTTGCGTCCTTGAAATACACTTAGTAACCTTGTGTAAAAATTTGATCATAATCCGGTAATATCTCATTTTCGAAGTTATTGGCGACTACTACTACTTCCTCGCCAGTAGGCGTGGGAAATAAAAATGGCAATTTTTGTGCTCGATAATGCCGCGTCGTACGTACGAAGTAAGTTGTGAAGCTCGATGTTCAACGCTCAACAATATATGCAAGGACAAAAAACAAATAAAACTGTAATCGCAAGAAATGCATTTTACGCGATTTATCCTCAGACACAAGGCGCCCGTTCAATTGCAATTACGCATTGGGAACGATAAAAATGCAAGTAAAGCTATTTTCGATTCCGGTCCCGCGGTAATTAGAGACGCGTCCGGCGATCAAGACAATGAAACCGCATGCTTGTAAACAAACAAAGAACCTTTTTCAGACAGTGCTAAATTCCCATCGCCTTCTATGATGAATAATTTAAGCGTATATCCGTTTTGTGGGCAGGTGTCTGGGAAAAGTGGAAGGGTCAGAGCCCTATTTAGTGGTTGTTAACTTGCTGTTTTTTTATTTGCACTACAAAGTGGCAGATGTTAGTAGTTTTATTGTGACAATACCCTACTGGCCGGAAGTTCTAAAATCAGCATCAATAATGAGATTCTTAGTTTTTCCACATATAAGGTCAATCCTTCAAATTTATCTAGGGCACAAGAAAAAAGATCATACAGAAAGATGTCCTGTATCTCCCTACGGAGATATAGACCCTTAATAGTAGCCTCTGCAGATTGCTTTCTCTTAAATAATAGCGTTCTGAACGCAATGCATTTTCGAACGTAAAGGGTCTCTTATATGACTACAGTCCATACAGGCACACACACACACCCTCCTACCCTGTGCGGTCCCTCCACCACCGCTGTTCCAGGCAATCTCAAACCCTTGAGGAGTGGGGGGAAGAGCAATCTGCTCCTCTCTCCTCTCCCGCCCGAAGGTCTGGCGTGGCGCTGCGTGGTTCAGGCCTCTGCGCATTCCCCGAGTGTGTGCTGCCGAACGAGCTAACCCCCCTCCCCAATTTTGCCCCTTTTTCCCGAAATTTGACTCGATCGCGCACGCGTCGCGGAAGCACGTGGTGGACGTTTCATCCAACTGTCGGTTCTCGACTTTTATGGACGGCCTCTTTCTTGGGGGTCCTGCGCTGGGGGCTTTGACCTAAGCCCCGCATTAAGGTTGGTGAGCCTTCGCTGTTTCCTCGTCGACTGGAGTCAGTCAGTCATTTGCTGTTTGTCTTCGTCTCCTGAGGTTTTAATTCTGCGATTACTATAGACTTCACGAGGAAAGACCTACCATGAATCCAAATCCCTACTAAAGTACTCGTATCATTTTTGAAACACCCTAAGTAAGACAACTGGTTAAGCAATATTTAGTTAATTTTTAAAACCAGTTTCATGTCTTGCATGCATACTTTAAAGTGTAGGTATATTTATCTGTAGCACTGTCAATATTTCCACAGTACTATCACAACAGCTAACGGCGCTAAATCTAAACTGATAACAATAATCATTCCCATTTTCCAACGTTTTAAAAAAACATAGAAACCTTTGGATAATATAGCGCCACATTGACTGGGACTGATGACCATACACAGGAATTCTGGTGACTGGGTTTTATCAGTAGGATAAAAGTCGTCTTTTGTATTAAGTCGCCTTCAGTTTGTTTGTGATTGTTGCGTGTTGCTGCTTTAAAAGCACGATGAAGGATACCATAAAAGTTAAAATGGGGCCTTACTATGTTAAGGTCTTTGATGTACCGGGTGTTTATGGGGTAAGTTGTTCCTGGATGCCGATAGGCAACTGCAATGAGAGAACGTGGTCAGTTGAACAGTTTTTTTGAAAATCCCCATTATCCGTAATGATTTTTTTTTATTCTAAGAAGCTAAATTAATTAATTTAATTAAATTGAATTTGTGGCTAATGGAATTCTGTCCAAAGCCACCGCCCCCCTACATACATACATACATAAATTGAATTTTCGGGAACCAGCTGAATTGAAAGTAATATACTATTAAAACTATTAAACTAATTTCCTTGATAATAGTGAGGGACGTACTTATTCTATTGAATTGCTTAATTAGTTTAGGTAATTTAGTTTATATAGAAAAGGTACATTTAATACAAATATTTTGACTAAAAAAGCTAAACAGCTTATTTGAGTCGCGGACTAGGCACTTCATTCGTAAATGATCGTACAATTTTTGTAATGGCCTTTGTAAGTTTCAAGTATTCTTTTCCCTACTTTCTAAATGTAAAACAAAGAATTGATTTTAGTAAATGGTGATATATTATAACTTGTTTCTGAGCAATCAGAAAAATAATCGGTAAAACTTAATCCCATATGTGTATAATTTTTCACATTCAATGGAAATATTTGGAAGTTTATATTTTGATTCAAAAATACCAATTACCATTATCAACATTTTCCAAATTTTCTGATGACTTTTTGATTTGTCACCGCAGTTATGATATCCAAATTCAGTCAAATGTTCTTTTGAGTCCCAAATATTATCCAAATATATTTTTAAATCTAAAAAGACATAATTAATTGAAACTAGGCAAATACATTTACCTACACTCAGTAAACACATTTAATAAATATAATTGAACTGATTTACTTAGAACAGGTGAAATCATTTTAATACCTCATTATTTAAAATAAATTGGTGTATTCAATTTAAGTAAACGGTTTAATAAATGGCAACTTCGACACACATTTTCGGGTAGCAAATCAAACTCAAGGTGGACTGTAAAGATTGTTAGATGCATTTATCTGCGGCCAGCTTTTCTGTCCGAGTTTGAATTCATCACTGTTAAATATGTTTCTATGAAGGTAATATCATTTCCCTCATAAATCTTGGCTACTTGACGTATCTGCTGGTAACAGACTTAATTGTTTCGTTGTTTGTTTCATGTTAGAAAATAATATATCAAAATGTAAATATTCTCTAGGCGGTGTTTGTCGGATGCGAATCAAATGATAAGCCTAAAAGTTTGCAATTATCAGTAGTTGTTACCTGGTTGCCGAGTAACGTGTGTACCTTTCAATGATGTACGATTTAACTGAACGTGCAATTATGAGCGCCTTAAAGGTAATATCATAGCGTTAGAAGCTTACGGACATGTATATCATTATAAATATTCAATTTTTTTTGAGATTCCTGGCACTTTGATTTATCAAATTGCACTTACACTGATATACTCACAACGCACTTCAAAAAAACTATGCTAGAGATGTATCGAATCTTCAATAAGCTTTGCGCGTTTCAGAGTATTCTGCTTAACGATTCCACTAATATTCCAAAGATGATCATAATAATGGTTAAATAGGCTATAAGAAACATTTATGCTTAGGCACGCATCAAACATTTATAATTAAGCCCACACGCGAATTAAGCCTCAGCGGTTCAAAAGTCATGAAATATGGCCGAAATTAAAAGGGTTCACTAAATTTTACGAAACAGCGAAAAGGCGAATTAAATATCGATTCTTAAAAAATATAAATGAGTCGATTGGCAATATACCATACCATATTATAATTAGACATGCCTCCGACTCCGCAATCAGTTTTGCCATATCTCAGTACAGCTGATTATTTTGGAAAAACAAATTTTTTGTACATGATTACTATAACAATACTCATTATCTCCGTTCTCGTTTACACTAACTAGGTTGTTTATCCATCAAATACGGACATGCAGTATTATTTATTTTGATCCTTTTTATTATATTCACGATCTACCTACTAACATCAAAATGATACAGCAGTACAATGATATTTCCAAAAGAGGAAATTTTGTGGTCCCTCTTTGTTACCCTGTACCACTCATGTATTTGTACACCAAGGTATAATACAGTATTTCTAACAATTTTTACTGTAAATGCAGAGCAACATTTGTAAATGACGCGAAGCATGCGTGGCGAGAGCATCGTTTTGTGGTAGCGATGGTAGCTAGCATAAGGTAACGTCATACGCTATAACAAGACAATTTTCCAAATAAGAACGGGGTTGCGTAACTTTGTCTTTTAAGATATCCAAATACATTTTTCAGATCTTTACTTCACTTTACTTAAGTTATCGCTTCGTGCTTCGAGAACTAGTAAACCTCCTCAATGGTAGCAATCAAACGTCGGCCCATCATGGCCACTGCTTGGGTTAGCTTTCACACACTGGCATTGGATGTATGGTATAGCTTAAAATATTGTGAACACAGGCCTTCGTATATCATTATACGAGGTCTGTGAATTAGGTGATAAGGCTGAATTCTTTTCATTTCCTTATACAAATATAATTACAATTTTATATCAAAATAACTTTCTACTTCAGCCACGCAGCGCAGGACACGGTTCTGAAGTGCTGGAACTCCGATACTTCAATAGCCATCAGCTGATCGGTTACAGCCATTTGAATGTTTTCGAATCCCCCTTTGTGGTCTCTTTTAGACTTCGGGAAGAGAACAAAAAGTTACAAGGACTAATGTCAGGCGAATAAGAGGAGGCTGAGGAACCACAGGAATGTTTTTGCAGGCCATTATCGACATTGTTGTATGACAAGGAGCATTATCGTTATGCAACACTCAGTTGTTCTTGATCTGATGAACGGTGGTAGGATTCAAATTTAACTCTTCCCCGATTATTCTGACTATCAACCGACGATCTATATGCCCAAGGTCCCGGATCTGTCGATATTTTCATCGCTTCTTGAAGATGAAGGCCTTCCGCTTCGTGGTTCATCTTCAATCGGCCCTCTTCCTTTTGACAATGCCGTAAATCACCGAAAAAGCTGGGCTCTTGACAAATCACTATCTGCGTAGGCATGCTGAAGTTTATCAAGTTTCCGTTGCACTGTATCCAAGAAGCAAAACCTGATAGCACACCGTTCGTCGAAACTAATGCGACTCAGTTTAAGAGCACAATACAAAAAACTGTTTTGCTACGGTCAATCAAAAGTCTCGAGCCAGTTCAAAATCGTACTGAAGGGGTATCACATGTTCCCCTGTCTCCCCTCCAAGCCCGGCGTCCCTACTGTTGCCAGATGGAACGCTACGGTGCCAGTCTCATCACTTAATATACAGACACCGTATATCGCCACATACGACTTGAAAAGCTGGAATACCAGTGTTACATCAAGCCACCTGCGACTGTTTGTAGACTTTTCCAGAGTGCAGGTGTATCCACATTTACAGTAGTACTACCATATTGCTTGCAAATACGTCCTCACCTGTAATATATAGTATCCCGGGATTATGAAGTTCTATTCAACGATACATGCTTGCACTTTCCATATTGTATATCTCAATGAGCGTTTTCACCTTCAGTGTCATCAATTGACCAAGTAATTAGCAGTCAAATAAAGCTTTTTAAAGATTTGTCACAACCAGGGAATGAATCACCATACCATTAAACCGCTATCTTCATTCATGATTCGAATCTGTACAAATAATATCCTCATGTCGCCACTGAATTACCATTATGCATATAATGATTCAGCTCGTAGCGTCAAGGCCGATCGGTAATGAGTATATCAGCTTATCTAATACATCCAGCTGATATAACTCACTCGATATTTTACCGACTCTCATTGGTTTAATCGGTAACCTGGCATCTCGACTGCCACATAAAAGGACATTGACAGCCATGGTGTAATGAGGGATGTTCGGCTCCCTTAACGCATAATATTGGTGTCAAGTTGGCCAGCAACCATTGATCGATTACCATCATACATGTGATTCGAGTATTGGTTATTTATTTTTAGTTTAACGTCTATATCGCTACAGAAAGTCATTTTCAAACTTATGTAATATAGTAGATGACAACGCCCTTAGATTCGTTTACATTTCCTCTTGCAAGTCTGGATGACATGAGAGATGACTCAATTAAGTTGTTGAAGTCACGTTGATTGCTATAGGTTTCAAATCTCTGAAATGTAAGCAGGGAACAACTCTCGGCTCTTGCCATCAATTCTCGATGTACCGTCTCTGCTATGGGAATTTCATTACGTTTATAATGATCATACACTACGTTATTTTGGCACTTAAAGGTTTAGATGTCCCCTTGTTTATTCTTCTTTTTCTTGGATTGACACCGTTAGGAATAATTTTAGAAATTGTAGGATATGGCACGTCAGTCAGTTCGGCTGTTTGTTTAGGACACTACTATTGCCGCTATCACCCATTTCACGTAACAGTCCATTATAAACATTAATGTAAATCTGTTGAGCATGAACAGACAGGCACATTCTTTTAGAAATACGACGGTATTCCTGACTATCATTGCTGCCCTCGTTACTACTATCAGCATCATCCACACTTAAACTGATAATTATTACCCAAGGCGTCGTGATTCACCTGCCTGCGGGGCTCGGGAGGCGGGTGGAGGGGTTCAGGTCTTCATGTCGTAGTCACATTATGTGAACTTGTTGCTATGACAGTATCGGAACAATGCGATTTTTCAGATTCGCTACATTCAAACCAATGGTACCGAACTATTAGGTTATTGCACATTGCTCAAATGTATGACTTATACGTTACAGATGAACCAGATTCCATTATTATATATACCGTATCATATAATGAGCGTACTATATGGCGGGAACCTGAAAAAATGTAAACGAATCTAAAAGCGTTGTATCTCTACTTTACTGATGCGTTATGAAATTAGGAGTATTGATCAATAAAAAATGGGGAATATGCTCGGCATTCCTAAATTATCGAAACGCAACACTATTGCCGTGAGGTCACGATATCTTTCTCGCTGTCAACCTATCAGTTTCATCCTTTCCGAAGATTGATGCGAATCTGCTACTTGTTTGAATGGCAGGTGGGAAAAGTTGCCTTTGTTATCTTAGGGAAGTGGAAACTAATCATATTTGATCATAACGGCAGCTCTGTGTTCTGTAGTGACGGTAAAATGATCAGTTTTCATAATTTTATACCACTTTTCTCTATTTTACCATCTAGGGAAATACACTACTGTACTTATAATAAGGTTTCTGTTCTTTCTCATTTATCTTTAAAACTAGTCGATATAAAATAGTACCTTTCAAAATTTAGACAACAAATCGTTACATCAAATCAACTCTACAGTAAAATTACAATCCATGAGTTGTGATGTCCCTGCGAATATCACGAAAAATGCGGCATTTAAATCAACTTCATTGGCATTGCACTTTTAAATATTTAATTAAAAAAATACAGACATTTCTATGGATGCAATGTGTATTTATGGTATTACTTTAACGTAAATAATATACAAAAGATTACAAAAAACATGCATATTCCCTATTACGGTAGCCGTGAATGCTAAGCTAACTTCAGGGACGTACTGGCACTGTAGTTGCTGTCAAGTGAGTCGCAGTTTTTAAGTGGGAATACCCAAAACTGTTTTAGAGTCCTTTGAAAATTGGTCAGGCCAAAACATCTCAAAGGTGTGAGTAGAGTAGTTGTACGAATATGCACAATACAACATTTTGAACTTACATTGTGACTTGTTTGATGACCAGGATTGTAACCCTATGATTCGAAATATATCCACTTATATCTAACAAGCTACGAAATGCGAACATTGGCAACGTTGTGGTAGACCTGTCGGTCTTTACGTACAAGCCTAAGCCAAACTACCCTTATTGCGGTTTACCTGTAATTCACTTGTTTTAAGCGGTATAAGGAGTTATTTGGGATCTGTACCCGTGGTTTTTGGAAAAAGCATTTGTGATTTTGCAAAGTGGAGTATTGATAAAGTGTAGACTCTTTGAGCAAGAAGGTTACAAAGGACTATGAAATTCCATAGAATAGATTCTGTGTTGGGATGCCAAATGGATATAAATCCAAACATGCGAGTTGAAGAAAGAACTTGTTATCTAGATGTGTAAGTATGTCCATCCAAACAGTAATCATGATACAGATATTGCAGTTTCGAGGCCTGCGGTATAATTAATAGTATCTTAATATAACTTAATTGACGTGAAAACCAAAATAATACCGCAATTTGTAATAGATCAGTGACTGCTATGAGTATAGAAAGTCGTACTTTTTTGGAAACAATACATCAATTCGTTTCTTAGATCTTTCTACGTATTTTAAGGTAGCACTCA